AAAAATCACCTTTTAATTCTAAATCTTCTCATTTCCTTGATAAAGTTTAGAAAGATGACAGATAAATAGATAGATGGATAGATAGATAGATAGATAGATAGATAATTTAGAATAACAATGACCATTATGGAGAACTTTTGATATGACACATAATCAACAAATTAAAATATTTAAGAGGGGTTGTAGACAACCCCTAGGGGATAAAATACTAAATAGTTGATATTCAGCTCCTTCATTGGCATACTGAGATTGCTACATAAAATTCAAATTCCAATGTAGTTTCTGTAAAAGCCTTGATAGCTTTTTGAAAACTACTATCTTTGCATTTCTCTTTCTGTGTAAGTTTACCTGATTTTTTAAAATGAGCTATTCTGTTCTCAGAGTTTTCATTAGAAAAGACCACATTTTAAATTTGTAGAACAGAAGTCAGATCAGTGGGAGTTGAATTAAAGCCCTGAGCCAAATTAAGAGCTGTAATTAATGGTTTTCCTAAACTTCAGAGATTCAGGCAAAATATTTTCTGCAGAATTCAGGATTGTTATTAGATACTTATTGTTCCTCACTACAGATATGTACCAATTAATTCAATTAATTGTTAGCCTTATGGAAGAAAATGTTTCAAAGTAGCAGATTAGAAAAGATTTAAATAACCCTGTGATATGAAATTTCAAAAATAAAAATAGAAAATGCATTGCATAAGGCCACTTTAGAAGCTTTCCTTTTAATAAAAATTCAAGATTATAAACTAAATGAAGATGAAAGACTTTTGGAAACCTTCAAATAATTCTGGGGTAGGTACAAAAGCTGAGATAAGAAGGACTATATCCTCTCTTTCTGTAAATGGGCTCAGCCCTGAATTACAGGACTCAAACCAAGAAAAGAAATGTTAAAATATAAAATTGCTAACTCAGAAAATATCCTATATGTGACTAGACATTTTGGTAGACTTAAAAAGTAAATAAACTAGAAATCAATATAATTGTGAATCTTTAGGTTAAACAACTAAAAGGGTCTCGATTCTGTTTGCGAGCCAATAGACAAGAAAAACCTATAGATACTGCAAATGGAGGTGTCATTTAAGGAACTAGTGTCCCATGTTAGCTAAAGCTCAGTAGGACAACCACCTAAAATTTATCCAATAACTTAACTCCATGAGAGACATTTGGACACAAGAATGCCCTGTTCTTCCTCTGAACTTCCGAGGGAAGCAGTACCTCTTTCTTATTGATATAGGTGCGTTGATGTCTACCAATAATCTCACTATTAATAGAATATCAGATACCTTGGTTTAACAAAACCACTCAAATAGTGAAAATCTTTAACAATTTTATGTACCAATCTAGAACTGGTACTTTGAGATTATGACTAGAAGCGTACATTATTCTGTGTAACACAAAACCTAAAAGTTTAATAGATAGGATTTACTGCCAAATAAGATGTACTCAAGTTCTTACATATGATCAAATTATAGCTGCTCTAGTCATGAAAATACCTACACTCTGTATAATTTAAGAAATTATCCAAGGAATAGCTTTTGTCCTAGAATCCCTATGGACAAAAGACTCCACAGAAATGGAAGATGGATTGGAGCAAAACACATAAGCATACAGATTAATATAGGTACCTAGAATATCATAAATATTTCTTTTTTGTATCAGTATGAAAATGCTACACCATGATCTAGATATGTTAACTGCATAGCACATATCAACGAACTATTACTCATTGTGGTAGGCAGCTTCTAAGATGGTCCCCAATAACCCCACCTGCTCGGATTCATGTCCTTATATAATCCCCTCCCCTTGAGTAAGAACAAGGCCTATAACTTGTTTATTTTCTATAGAATATAGCTAAATTGATGGGCTATCACCCCCATTATTAGGTTATATAGATACATAATGATTTTCATCTTGGTAGCAGATTCTCTTGCTGGCTCTGATGAAGCAACCTGCCATGTTGCAAAAAACTGAGAGAAGTTTTCATCCAATAGTGAACAAAAAATTGAAGCCCTCAGCCCCAGAATCTTTGAGGATTACATCCTCCCAATAACCACATAAGTGAGTTTGGAAGTGTCCCTTTTTCCACAGTCAAGCCTTCAGTTTAGGCTGCAACCCTAGCTGTTACCTTGATGTAAGGCTTGTGAAAGATCATAAAGTAGAGGACCCAGCTAAACTATGCTAATATTCCTGACCCACAGAGACTGTGAAATAATAAATGTGTTGTTTTAAGCTAACTTTTAAAGTACCTTGTTACACAGTAAAAGAAAACCAATTCACATATTAAAGCCAACCTCTTAATTCAATAGCCAATGCTTAGCATCCTTGCTTAAGGACAATTGCTGGCATAAACAAAATTAGTAAAAATATCTTTAGGTTTTTGTACAAGGTCTTTAAGTCTAATGTTACCATATGTAATAAATCCCTATTATTAACAATAAAACATCGAACATTTTCTACTAGTTAATTAGCTAATTATGAATTGTTGCTACTTCTCCTTCCCACATTACTGTCTATTGATGTAATACTCAAAACACAACAGCTCTATAANTAAATTATTGGCTTCAATCCTACCACTGAAAAAAATTAGGGATGTCTTTACTTAAAATAAAAACTTTATGGATTTCAAAAAAATTTTTTTTCGATAGACTATGCATCCGATCCTTAAACCAATTATATGATTTTTGTAAAAGATGCCCATGGTGCCGCTTGGCAAGTAAAGATACCAAACCTAGACATTTAAGGCATGTAGGTTTTTTGACATATGTGAAGATAAGAAATTTTATGCCAGTGAAGACATAGGCAAAGAATGGCTAACTAAGTGAAATTACACTTATGAGTCACACACATTTATACAGCTTTGTATCCTCACCTACAAAGCGAGGGAGAATAACGCCCGTTCCCCTGATCTTGCTGACTGTTCAGGGAGATGAAATAGTTAATAAAACAATGCATATACTATAATAATTACTATTAAAATTCATCATTTAAAAGTATTATTTCAAAAAATAAAAATACTCTTAATGGGGAAAACTGCTTAATTTTTAGATAATTTAATTCCCTTCAGAATTTCCAACATCCATCTCCTTTTCAAAATTGTAAATGTTACATGAAATTTGTTTTCATGGGTCTCAAGGAAAAGAAGACTCATGCAAATTTTGACATATGCTTCTTTGCAATACAGTCAGGAAAAAGATAGGAACGTATTTATTACACAAACTACTCAGAAGAATTACCAGAACAGAAATAATCTGGACTTTGATGTGTATACTGGATATTGAGTTTGGGGTTCATCACCTTTATCTGGTTCTTAGTTCTTTTGGTGCTGTGTGGCTAGAAAACCATTCTGATCATGATCTCACAGTAGAGATAGCTCCATTCATGTACAGCATTACGGAACATCTTTATTATAATATATATTGAAGTTTAATAAATAAGAGGAACATGATATGACAGCTGCTTAAAGAACTTATTTCAGGACATCCTTAGTGCTCAGTTGCAGCCAAAGTTTGAAAAATCTCCCCAGGTGCTTAATTCCCTTCCTCTCACTCCATATTAGTAACGATGTGGCTCCAGAATGATAAAAATAAATCGGAAAAGATCTTCCACCGTGGTCTAAACTAGAACCAGAAATTAGAACTAGAGAGTTTGCATCCCTGACCTAGACCCGAGAGATGTGTTTATGCTCCAGAGAGAGAGGATCCATACAAAAAAACAAAAACAAAAACAAAAAACACAACTTATTATCAGAAAGCAAGCCGCAGACTCGAGGTCAGGACAAGGATAGGTCAGCTGGTTGTTACTTCCTGCTCCTTGCTCTTTCCAAGGAGTGAAAACAAGACCTTTAGGACTACATTTCTACTCAAACAGAATGTGAGATTTAAAAACAGAGAAAAGATTAGGAAAGGGAATGAAAAACATTGGGGAAATGGAAGAACATGACTGAGTCAAATAGAAAAAGAAAAAAAGCGAGCGAGCGAGCGAGAGAGAGAGAGAGAGAGAGAGAGAGAGAGAGAGAGAGAGAACACCCCGAGCCAGATAACTCACTTGGCATTCCCTGCCCCTGGCTTCTTTCTTCGGAAAATGTTGAGGAAAGTGTTGGAGCGGCAGGGCAGCTTGCCGTCGCCGACGTGCATGCGGACTACATCAGAGGTGGTGAAGGCACTGCGGACGTTCCTCTCGGGCTTGGCAATAATGATGTACATCTTGGGAGTGAACATGCACCCCAGGGCCACCGTCACACTGAGGCTCACTGCAAAGCAGGTAGTGATGATCTTGTAGTTGCTCCCAAAGTAAATGGGTACAAAAGCCAGCCAGATGATGCAGGTGGTGTACATGGTGAAGGCGATGTACTTGGCCTCGTTGAAGTTGGCGGGCACGTTGCGGGTCTTGAAGGCATAGTAGGTACAGCTCATGATGAGGAGTCCATTGTAGCCCACAGGGGCCACGACCCCCAGGTTGCTGGTATTACAGATAAGGTAGACTTCCTTAATACTGGGGTAGGACAGGATGGGCATGGGGGGTTCCATGATGATCAGGGTTACCACCAGTGTTAGCTGCACACTAATCAGAATGGAGGCAATGATCACCTGGGCCCAGGCGCTCATGAACCTGGGCTTCCTGGTGCAGATCTTCTTCTTGCTGCCAGCTAGGATGCGTGCAATGCGATTGGTTTTGGTCACTAAAGCGGAGTAGCACATGGCCGAGGACAGACCAACCAGAAGGCGCTGGAGGTAGCAGGATGTGGTGGTAGGTTTGGCGATGAGAGTGAAAGGGCACACGTAACCAAGGAAGATGCCAGCTAGGATGATGTAACAGAGCTCCCGGCTGGAGGACTTGACCACTGGTGTGTCCCGGTACAGCACAAAGATGAGAGTGACGAACAAGGTAACAAGGATGCCCATGCAGGAGAAGGCGATGGCTATGATGGATTCGATATTGCTCCACTCAAGATAGCGGACAGTAATGGGTTCACAGCCTGTGAGGAGAAAAAGAGTTTTTAAATGAATCCAAGATTTCTACTGATCAATAGTAGCAGTGCTTTCTAGCTACCGGAGGCACCGCGGTCGTCTCATCTTTCATGATTTATGTTAGCTTCATGCTTCCAAAATATGCCTCACTGTTACACAAATAAAAATACACCATTGTTTTCTTTGGATCATCACATGCCCAACCTCATCTCATCACAATCCTAATGTGACATATGCCAGCCTGTAATCTTTTTTTCCAACACCAGCCTTATAAATGGATCCCACTCTGTGGAACTTCGTTCTATATTTTCGGAAAGAGAAAGAAAAAAAAAATAGGAAACTAAACTATGTTTCCAGGGAAGGATAAATGGTGAACAATGTAATAGATAAGTTAATAAGAAATAAACTAGTGAAGTTTTATTTTTATGTAGCTA